CACGAATCCGTAGAATGGAAACGGAAGATTTGACATTGTGCTTTTCACATGGCTGCTGTCGATTTTGTCTGTAAAATATGGAACTCCTAGCTCTTTGCATGGAAATAGAAGCCAGCACCCATTAATGACTTCATGAAAAGAAGGGCGCCCGAAATAGCCATATAATGAAAATGCAAAGAACACCGACATTCCAACGGTTAACCATTCGTTGTAATTCCATGTTTACTTGCCTTTATCAGATTCAATATATATTTTCCGGCTATCTCAATGTCTGAAAGTTATTTCAGTGTTGACGAACTCAACAGCTATTACTCCTTGCCTCAACAAAAGGATTTGAATATCCTACCCTTATGGCAACATCGCGTTTATCTCAACGTTAATTTCTTAACAACATAGAAATGCGCAGCAAATCATGAGAACGTTAAATTTCAAGGCAAATTATGTCTAAAAGTTGATTATGATTGATAATGATCAGTGTCTGATCAACCTTTCAGAACTGTTCTTGAAGGAACGGTTTCAGATAACTGTTTCCTCTTGAGTCATTGGCAGACCATATGGCGTTTCTGTAAGGAAGCAAAGATCGAGCAAATCCACGCATTTCCTAATTAGGGAATTTCTACCAATCCTGCTTTTAAGGATCTGATATGTGATCAGCAGTTAACGTACCTGTTACTGTGCTAACCTTTTTAGATAGAGTGGTTCTTAGAAAATCTCCTTCTTTTTACACTGAGAGTTCTAGAAGTGGAAACGTTTTATTTCGTTTGAATTGGTAGGTTAAGTAGATTTATCGTAGATTTCGTTCAGATTTTTAAGTCGTCAAACTGGGTGCGTCTATTTTGCCATAGCATCCGAATCGTCTGCGTAAATGTTCCATTTTTCTGCTGGAATCGCTGCTGCTCTAGGCTAATTTTCCAAAGTATTTAAAAGTACGCTTTTACCAATGTCAACCATAATGTTGATAACGAACTACTCCTCGCTATCCTCGCGGTAACTTTCCTCGTAAGTGATCCTCATTATTTGCCTCTTTACAATTTTGTAGACCATGCATGTTCAGAGATTTGTTTTGCATTCATGTTTTTCATACGTGCAGATTTCAGTTTAACACCCTAAAAGTCAACTTAAAAGAGTAGTCATCACCTATCCTTCTAATCCTCAAATTTCTTTTATAACGAGGTGTTACGCGCATAAGCTGTGAATCATTCTTGAAAAGCATTTAAATCATCCTGTACTACTGACGGTGATTTTGAGCGTGTTTGAAAAGATAGTTGTTTTTGGCGCTTAGCTTTGCTAGTCTGAAGAAGTTAAATATTATAATCGAGAATGTATTTCTGATGTAATAATCTATAACTGCATTTGATTCGTACACACTAATTATTGTATATTCTCGTCTGTGATCGTTTTTGTACGCTGCGTTTCGCGACAATATCCCGATTACTTGTCCAGCGTTAGTTTGTGCAGCCTTAAATATATTTAGCTGGAATGACCGAATGTTTAAAATTGTAAAACTGCTACAGGCTGAAAGTGTTTATCTCATTAACACTGAACATTTTATGAACAGAAATTTCGCATTATGCGTTTGTCGTCGTTAATTACTGAAGTCCAAATTAAGCAGAAAACTCATTTTGATTCCTCTTAAACAATTAATTAAGAATTTTGTAACTTTCAAGAACGCATATGAAAGCAACTATTACTCGTGACTCATTGTTTAACGATGCAACTTCTTCTGGTTTTAACTTTAAACATACATTTTGCAGGTAGTTGGAATGATAAGTATTTAAGTTATTTTTTTCGAAAACCGAGTTACTTTAAAAAAGTTAAATAGTTCATTTGGCGTTTCCACGTACGCTGTTTCGTGATAGCAGATTTACATTTTCTGATGCTGATGCTGAAAGGCAATTTCCTGATTCAGTGGTTATAGGTGCGACGAAAGTTCGGAATCAGTATAACGACTATTTACGCACGTTTTACTAACATATAGATGAATAACAATAGCCATGTTTCGTTATACATATGTTGGTGATCATAATTTTCATTTTTCACGCCTTTGTATAAATGTACATGTAACGAAAATCTTGTTATTACGGATTTGCTATCAGAGTGCTAACTTTCAGTAACGCCGGTAAGACTAGATTTCTATTATCATTCCTCCTCCTTTTGTAATTATTTCAGGCTTCTTACCATATTTTCTTTTAATCTCTTTCCCGAAGAGTATGCATATGTCTTGTATATACATATATTATGTATATATTTATGTTTTGTTATGGCTAACGGCAGCTAAAAAAGATCAGTGACTGACCGTTATGTAAGTAAAACTAATGATTGACTTAGAATCCTAAGTTTCGGGCAGCCGCCACCTGTGAACTCAGGTCTAGGCACTTTCAGTCAATTTTTGCTAAGTGTCCTCTCCGGTGAGAGAAGGTATGGTTGTAGATCCGAAATATTGACTTCTGAATAATATTTGTTAACTTTGAACGTTATTCATGCCTATAACCATTATATTTTGCTTCCTGTAATTGTCTGGCACTCAATGGGTATGAATTCGTTAATGTAAGACATTTTTTAATATATGATTCTTTAAATTTTGGCAGTTGTGATTCTCATTTCGAAAAACATTAAATTAAGTGACTGAATAACTAAATTACTGTTGCTGCCACAGTTATATTGGCATAATACATACTTCATATATTGAAAACTTAAGCTTAGGCATGAATAAGTAGAGTGGTTAAATGCTTACTGTCTGGTTTA